CTCCGGTCACCCACTTCTTGGACAAGGCATCGGTTGCTTCTTGCAGCTGCAACTTTAGTGTCTCCACCTCCCTTCCAAAATTCTCAGTCTGTTGCGCTGCATCTGTCAAGGCCTCGTCTCGCTGTTGCACTAATTCTGCCAGCCTTGTTTGTAGCGTGCCTATCACCTGGTCACGCTGATTGAGGGCTGACTGGTATTCCATTATCTACATGAAAAAAATTGTTGATAGGAAAAGGTTTTAATGTACCTCCATTATAAGCCAAGACAAAGAAAGAAAGAAAGAAAGAAAGAGAGAAAGAAAGAAACAAACAAAGAAACAAAGAATGAAAGAAAGAAAGAAAGAAAGAAAGAAAGAAAGAAAGAAAGAAAGAAAAGAAAGACAGAAAGAAAGAAAGAGAAAGAAAAGAAAAAACATATCAATCAATGTAAAGCTATCTCTATCTATTCACAGACAGATATAGATATGAATACATACATAGATACAGATATAAATGCACTTACCTATATGGATGGATGGAAATGGAGATCAAAAAAGAGATGGATATAAATATATAGATATATTTACCCACACATTTAGATCATCCTTAAAGCATCTCACTTATTAATTCCATATGCTACTGGCACTCTCCTTTAATAACTTAAGGAACCAGAGAAGCTACTGTAAAAAAAATCTGTATTCCAGACACGTAAAAAACAGGAAAATGCAAACCTTCAATTTGTACTGATCCAGGACCTTCTTCTCAACCGGAGATACATTTTGTGGTGAAGCCTGCTGTTGTTGCTTAAGCTTCTGGTTTTCAAACTGAAGTGCTTGAATTGCAAGATCTTTTGCTGTGCAGAATGAATCAAGAAATAAATACATAGAGACAAATAAATAAATAAACAAATAAATAAATAAACAAATAAATATATAAATACAGACATCAAATTCCAAATAGCATTATGATCTAATGGCAATGCTTCTTGAATATTATCATTACACTACTGTTCAACACGAAACTATTATTATATATTTCAGCACATTAATTTCCAGTAGACCATCTAATATAAAAAGTTCTCTAACTCAGCTCTCTCAAATCACACAAAGAGATCAGAAAAAAAAAAAAAAAAAAAAACAAAGAGCTCATCTCACAAACTTTCTCTCCTTAAAAATTACGAAATTTATCGACAACTTCCTTGACAACTTACTCTGAACTTCCTCCTGCAGCTGGATAATAAAAGCCTGGTCCCCTGGGGTCTGGGAACTCCCCCCATCTCCACCTTTTCCATCCATCTGAGAAAAGAAAGAGAAGAAAATTACCCCCTCATGACTCATTGGCTTTCCTCTTAAAATGGCAAAAAATAAATCTCCTTCGAAAGGGATATATAAACATCTTCTGACGTCCCCAAGAACAGACCTATAATAAAAAAAAAATAATAATAAAAATAAATTAATTAATTAATTTGAAAAAAAAAATAAATAAATAAATAAAATAATAATAATAATAATAATAATAATAATACATATAATGAATACCAGTATAGTGGGCTCTCTTAAAGAAATTTAACACAAGAAAAGATTACTAAAAATATATAATTACCTTTCCTTCACTATCTAGAAACTCTTCATTAGAAAGTTTTCTTCTTTTTGGACTTTCCTTCCTGTCTTCTCCATCAAGCTTGTTTTTTGTCTGTTGCGTAGTCTGGAAAAAAAGTAATTTAATTCAGTATAAAAGATGTTCATTAAAATACACTAATCAATCTAATTCAGTATTAAAGACATGAATTAAAATGCACTCATTAATTCTCTAGTAATGATATGCCTATTATCTAAATTACAATATTCTCAAGAGGATCATGGAGGGTTTGTAGGAGAGTTGCAAAGCCTTGGGGAAAAAATATTGCAGATCAATTTGCTTGGTGTTCAGTAGTGTTCATATGTTGGGGATGTCATGTCAGTACATGCCATGCCCACTGTGAGTTTCCTTTAACTGTTTTTACAAATAGATGACTCCACGTGTAATACGTCACAAATGAACCAAATACGAGTGCAACCTGTCTTGCCTATTTACCCTTTTCCTCAATTTTCAAAAATATTTTCTGGTATTTAACATCATCGTTAGTAATGTCAATAACACAAAAATAACATAATAAAGAATCGGCATTGATAGCATTAGTAAGATAAGTAATTTTCCTGCAAACTTAAAGAAAAGGTGAAATCAGGTGAGGTCACAAGGTCTACTAATCGACACCTTTGTGGCTAAGCACTTGCAGATCTGTGCAGAGACATTTCACAAAATAATTCTATAGTGAATGCAACATTTCCCTGGGGGCTTTGGGTTAAAAATATACTATGCAGCCATGATTTCAAGGAATACTGTACTGCAATTAAGCAAATAAATTGTTGAAAAGACTTGTGTTTTTACTCTTAGCCTATAAATATGCTGTTACAAAATTTAGAAACAAAACAGCTGATGTCATAGAGTCATAGATGTATCACAGGATTGAGAAACAGGGTGACAAGTGTAATATGGTTGGGATCCACTGCTATGGGCACTAACTCACAGCATTATAGAATAAAATACTGATATAATCATATATACACAGCTCATTTTTCATCAAACTTTATGATACCACTGGGCCATTTTGGTTATCTTATCAAATAAGTTTTTTTTTCCATAAGCTTGTTAACTATTAAAAAGAATTAATCATTCCTACATAATGATACAAAATGAAGGCTATTCAAATTCAAATTAAAAATGGCAGTATTTGGGTGGCAGACTTCAGAAACTTCCAAAAAGCACCTGTAAACATATTTCATTCAGTAGGAAGACAGTATATACAAGGCCTTACTGATAACAGGTAATATGTTATCAGTGCTATATAAATATGTCAGCTCTCCAGTAGTCTGCTCTAATATGAAAGTTTTATAGGGAAGACTTTTCTCAAAAACATAACTTTATAAAACATAGTTATCTAATGTAATTGACAATGCAACTTAATAAAAAATATCTAGCTAATGGTAAAAACTAATCATCATCATCATATCATCAGGATCCCTCACCATTAATCCCTCAAGTCAACATTAAATAGCTAATGCTAAAAATTCATCATCTTCATTGTTATCACCATCATCATCATTATCATGATCATCACTACCACCATCATCATCATTATTATCATCCTCATCACTACCATCACCATCATCATCACTACTACCACCATCATCATCATCACTACCACCATCATCATCACTACCACCATCATCATCATTATCATCAACATCATCATCATCAATACCATCACCATCATCCTCATCCTCATCATCACTACCACCACCATCATCATCATCACTACCACCATCATCATCATCATCACTACCATCATCATCATCATCATCATCATCACTACCACCATCACAAACCATCACCATTAACCTCTCCAGACCTATTTGCAACAACTGTGACTTTGCCACATCTTTACACAGAAATCTATTCAACACAATCATGGTATCATCTGGCATGAGTAATCAGAAACTGGTGGCACGTTTTCCTGCATATGAGTCACTAATAAATCTTATATTTATATCTAGCAGGTTTCCTTTACCTTACCCAACATATTATATCTTACAATGGATGATCAAAGTTCATAATGGCAAAAATGTAGATAAAGGGAAAAAAAAATAAATAAATAAATTGATTTTGTAATGTATGACAGGTAATTGATGTCTTTCAATTGAAAGTAATTTTCATGGAGGTCAACTGAAGTGCATTAATTACATCTCTCATGTTTTGAATTTATTTAGGCTGTAGCTATTCCTACAGTCATGTTTTGATAGTGAAGGCGATGGTGATGATGATTAGAAAAAGAATAAAAATAAGAACAATAATATCAATATTGTTGACAATAGTTCTCCTCCTCCTCCTCCTCTTTATCATAATAATAATAGTAATAATAATGTTCTCATGATGTTATTATAATCATAACAATAGAAACAGCAATAGTAATATTAGTAATAGTTATAGCTGTAGAATTATAATATCAATGATGATGACTGATGATGATTGACAATGACTGATGATGATGATGATGATGACAATCACTGAAAGTGCCAGTGATTGTGTGTGATAGTGACAATGGCAATGGCAATGACAATGATTATGCCAATGATGATGACAATAACAAATTAGAAGATCAAGACAATGACAATGCCGATGATGGTGGTTACTGGTTGATGGTTACAAAGCAAAATATATGTGCTAGACATATGGGATTGTAGAAAGGTGTAATAGTGAAATGGGTAAAGAGTGGGTTAGATGATAATCATATGCACCAAATTGCAGAAGTTGTATAGCAGTTCAGGAAAGTAGGGATTAACAAGGGCAAACTGACAAGGGAAGATGTGTGGGATTTTGCAAAGATGTCCAGAGGGTAAGGTAGGGATTAGCAAAGGAAAAAGGGCAATTAGATCACAGATTCAGTGAGAATGTCAGGAGGGAGAGAACCTAGGGAAGGGGGATGCTGTTGACAAAGGGTCACGTCCTGGGGGGGGGATGCGGCTGAAGCAGGGGGGACTGGGATGTGTTGGGAGGGAATGAGAGGAAGGTGCAGGAGGGAATATGAGTAGGAAGAGGATGGATGTCAGCAGTTACTTTAAGTATAAAAGGAATGGGAGAAGAGAGAATGAAGGATGGTTTAGGTGTAAGCATGTCATCTTAGGTCATGATAGTTTTGAATGCTTTCGAGAGTTTCTGCAGTGGAGTCGGTTGGGGAAGCCTGAGAAATATAGGTTTTCTTATGGGGAGGAAAAGAGGGGACAGATGTTTCAAGGATGCAGGTAAAAGTTGAGGGAGAGCATGGGATAGAAGATGGGATAGAGCACTTAGCTTGTCTTGTGTGATAAGTTGGGTTACGAGGAAGAGAGGTAGGCACCAGGGCTGGGATACTCAAAACTACCCATCAGTTACAAGGCCGACGACGTTGTAACCGCTTTACAACATCGTACCTTCCGATCTCATTACTACATTGTAACCCACCCATACTCAAAAAATAATTACGATGTAGTAAGCACATTGTAAGGCCCGTGTTTACATTATAAGTTAATTCCATTGACTACCAAGAGAGGGCAGACCAGTAGTCAATTGACCAATCAGCAATCAGCCTGCTAGATGTAACAACCAATGGAAAGCCATGGTTGTCTTATTGCCACGCCCCCAACGGTCACCAACTCCATGGAAGCCCCAGCGACTGTCTCCCAGAGTAATATTTTTGAAAGACTTATTTCCTATACTTTTAACAATATGTTTATGAGGTCTCACATATGACATACATACATTTTTTTGGAAGTATAAGGCAAAAAATCATAATTTCATGCGAAAGTAGTTTGATTTATACATACACACGGAAGAGTCACTGATTATCAGAACGATAATTCTTAAAAGGATTGTCTAGTTGGATATTTGGCATCAAAGAAAGTTATAGTAAAACAAATCTAAGAAATCTGTGATATCGCAATAAATGCTTATCCTCTCCATAGCGTGAAACTAATGATTCCCTATAATAATGTCTTTCGCACTGCAATGCTCGGTCTTGAGGATGAGCAGCCACCAAAACATTGTTATGTCTCGTCTGTCGTCTGTCAACTCAATTTACAGTCAATTTATATTTGATTCAAAATAACGATAATGCATAGAAAACAGAGATTATGCTAGACAATTGAAATTCCCCGGTATTAAATATGGAAAAGGCATGTTACTGTCAAATAAACGTTTTTGTCGACTAAGCAATCGGGAAATGAACCGTAATATATCCGGTTTGAAACCCTTACAAGAGCTCCCGAGCAATTGTAACTTACAAGGTACTTTACAATGTGTGACGTCATAACATGGTGGCTATTTTTGTTTCGAGTATGGCCCTCGGAGGAGTTACAACATTGTAACTGCTCCGATGCGAGATACAACATTGTAAACTGTTTTGAGTATCCTGCCCCAGAGTATCTGCAATAGTGGAGGAGATTGGAGCGTCTTGATTTAGAATGGCAAAAATATTTGACTTGGAGAGGGAGGGGGCAGAAGTGGGACGCAGAAGAAGTGCTTTGGGAGATGTAGAAACACCTTGGGAGGAAAGGGGTGGGGTAGAAGAATTAGTGGAGTAGGGAGCGTGTGTGAAACCTAGCCGATGACAACCTCTAGGGGGAATGGCATAGCATTGTATTGATATGGAATCATAGTCCACAAGTAAGTCTTCTCCACAATTTGATCAATTTCTATCATAGATAAAGCAGTTCGTTGGGGAGATGGAGACAGTTCCAGTACAAGAACTGAGGGTGGGATGACTAACAGAGGAAAAATTAACTGAGTTGCAGGTTGAGGTCCCAGGTACGGATAATCCCCTGTATTGGGTCCCAGTTTCCTAAGCCCCCCACAGCAACAATGGGCATGGGATTGGGGGGGTAATGATGATACTAATATTATTAATAATATTACTGATGGTGGTACGATGATGATGATGATGATGGTGATAATGATGATGATGATGATGATGATGATGATGATGATGATGATGATGACAATGATTATGACAATAATTATGACAATGACAATGGGGATGATGATAATGATGATGATGATGATGATGATGATGATGATGATTGGGGGGGTAATGATGATACTGATATTATTAATAATATTACTGATGGTGATACGATGATGATGATGATGATGATGATGACAATGATTATGACAATGACAATGGGGATGATGATGATGATGATGATGATGATGATGATGATGATGATGATGATGATGATGATGATGATGATGATGATGATGATACTAATACTAATACTGATAATAATATAAACTCCAATAACAACAGCAACAATAATAATACATTAAAAAAATATATAAATGAAAAAAATCATTATTATATAAAAAGTAACTTATTCCAGCCTTTCCACTACATTTCTAACTCACTAACCGTTATAACTGAGGATGTGCTATATTACTGTAACAACTTGCCATAAACAAAAATGTATTATCTAACATTATTCATACTATATCATAATTAATTTCCAGTAAAGATGTATGGGCTAATTGGTATGCACTTATTTCATACCAACTGATAAATCATTTCACCTAATAGTGACTTGGGATACTGAGCAACAGGTCACTCAGTAAATTCGAACATACTATCAAGGTTTTTAACCCCTTAATGATGGGTGAAGAATTTTTTTTTTTAAATCTATGCTCTGGAGATCAATGGCAACACGCTGACTTTGAGTGTGGGAGTTTGGTACATCAAGCCGAATCACCAGCTCATAGTACTTTGACACATCGCCGCAGCATACAGCCGCACTCCACAGATCGAGCGGTTTGTTATGACGCCTTAGAGCATGACCCGTTGGGAAGGGGTTAAATGTGTTATCAATAAAAGGCTTTCTATAAGTAATTCTAATGTTTACAAAATACACTGTTCAGTATTATTTATTACATTAAAATTATTTATTACATAAAATTATACTTTTCTAGCTTGTAAACCTCACAGCCTCAGCAGAAAATATATAACCTAAACAAAATCAACACCTGACACCCTAACTAATACTGAAAATTCAAACTACATAAATTTTTGATCTTTGTATGCCATCACCCTAAGTATTTTGTATATCCACTAATTCCAAGCACAATTCTTAGGCAAACTTATCATCTGTAGAAAATACTTTCACATATCTTACAAATTTGTGCACTCAAGGGTACAATTCCACTGAAGGCTATTGTCACGCATGACAACAATAATCATCTATCAAGTCAATACGTATTTCAAAAATCTTAGAAACACAGTTAATAAATACTTAAATGACAAACAGCAGAGACCTTCAACCAAAAATATACAAATGTTATTCATTTTACCACTGAATTCTAGACTAAATGATTTGTCCTTCAAGCCAACAACACAAATTTCTTTTTACATATGCTGATCCAAGGTGAAGTCAATACTCACACTTCTCACCATAAAAATCACATCCCACACCAATCCCAACGTAAATAAACACACGCTCACCTCCTTCCCTTTCATAAAACACCAAATAAGACGAAAAAACAACCAAAAAGACTCAATTCCGCTCCTTTATACCGAACAACCCACCCAACTTACAACCTTCAAAGACACGGATTCTAAATAAAATTCCACCAAAACATGACCAAAGGAAGAAGCAGATTCACCAAAACGCCCCCAAAGGAAGAAGACAAACACAGAAACCTCTCAGCCATCAACGTGAAATATTGCAGTCGCTGTGATGTGGCGCCTCGGGACAGAAATAGAGCAGGAATTACGAATGGAATTAATACTCTTTAAATCGCGTTCAACATCCCTTCCCGCCCTTCTATTCTGTCTACCTTAGTCTCCCATGTTTCTTGTGCCTTGTCTCCGTCTCCGCCATCCATAATTCTACCGAATTTCCCAGTTAATCATCACGAATCACTGGAACTGACGTTTGTTTTGGATGGAGGCTGGTTTTGGTGGCGTTTTTGTAACTTCCTGGGCGGCCTGAGCCAGGTCGTGCTCTTAGCTTTAACAAACTTTACTTATTACTTGTTCATACATATTTCTTATGTAATTCTTAGAGGTAAGGATACCCTCCTGGAAATATTAATGTATGCTTATCTTCGATATATCTATATTAAGTGAAACTGTTTGATTTTAAAAGTTTGACCGTTAACTTGCGGACGTTCTTTTAGCTTCGTCGAAACTTTAACTGATCTCGATTTTTGAAAATAAAGAATCAAATATTATTGTTTTTTGTCATTGTCATACCATATAAATACGTCTTCTTATGTAGTTATCAATCTACTTTGCCTTTTATCGTGCAAATGAAGAGATTTCAAATCAAATATGCAATTAGAATAGTGAAATCCATCCCACAGCAAAACTTTCCTTACGAAAACGCAAACTTCGCAACCGACTTTCGGGAACTTTCGTTTCAAATCGTTCGGTCCTTTTTCAAAATGGTTAGCTTAATGGTCCCCAGTTCTTTAAAGAAGAGCGATCTCGTTTTAAAACTGACATTACACTCACAACCTTTTATTCGTATAGATTTAGAAATCATTAACTTTGCCGTTTTTATCTTGTAAAATATAATGGTCAATGATTGATGGTTAAAAGCAAAACATAATGACGTATAGGGTCATTGTTGCATTATAGTAAGATATAGCATTAAAAAGGGAAGGGGGTTGAGTTAGTAATTTGTTACTAAATGCCCAATAGTCTTGAGTAGTATTGCAAACGATGGGTACAGGAGGCGATGAGTGAATGGGTTAAGGTAGCATTAAGAAAAGAGGGATTAGATTAAGTGAAGGATATGTATGCGTTTGAGGAAGGAAAACAGGTTATCAAAGAAGAAAGTGTGGGATTCCGAAGGATGGGAGGTCGGTGAAGGGAGGATAGACGAGGGAAAACAGTGGTACACCAAAGCGTGGGCAGGACAATGAACATTACATGGGGAACATATGGGCGGGTAAGAACGTGACATGAGATAGGAGTGCGTTAGGCGGGTGTGGCCCATACGTAAGCGTGCGAGGGCCGTCTCCCGTCTGTTCCGATGAAATGCATCTGACCAGGAAATTGATAGTTGTGACACTATGTAGTTTATTAATTGACAACAAATACTGTCACGGGTATAAACGAAGGTCTTAAAGAGGTTGTAATAACCCGCGGCTAGCATACGTGAGAAGTGGGGTTGGTTGTGGTGTAGTCCTTTCTGCGCTCGGAACTCGTCCAACGAGTAGGCAGGACGGACAAGTTTTGACCGCTCGAAACCCCACTTTCACGCCCTGACAAGTTGTCCTTTTCGCCTGCTTTGCAAACGGGTGAGCAGGACGAGATGACGTCATAATTTGCATGTAAACAATAGCAGTTGCAGGCAATCACAATGTACAGATAGGTAATTTTATGGCCTTTTATTACTGTTATCAAAGGGCATTTTTTGTTTGTCAGTTGCAGCTAAGTTATTTATGCCCCAGAGAATATCTAAAACCTATGCATCATGTAAAATAAAGACACCGATATGAGAAAATAGTCATAAATGTTTACTTTCGAGCTGGTTGCAGTGTGGGCAATGAAGGCCTCGTTGTCCTCCTGCTGGTCCTGACGAGTCTGAACGAGCAGGACCAGAGTTCCGAACGCAGCAATGGTGGCGGAGCGTGCTAGAGTATCTGCCTGTTCATTGCCGGGGATTCCGACACGGCCGGGCACCCAGCAAAATATGATGGATTCGTGGTGCATAGACAGGCAGGACAACTAGTCCTGAATAGGAAAGTCCAAACCAAAGGAATTAGCTTTCCGCTTTTTATGTAATTTTCTTGCTATAATTTCTTGAGACAACCTTCTGATTCCATCAGAATTGAAACGAAAATACTTTTCTATATTTATTGTACATGAACGTAAGAAATGTTACCAAATCACACGAGACTTTTGGCGGGAACCTCATAAGTTAACTCATAAGTATACAAAATAAGCAATGGGTAAAATCCGCAACATGATATACAGAAATAAGTGTCAGCTTTATAAATCACCCATAAACAATCACCAGACTTTTATGTCATGAAAACATGCAAGATACCACAAAACACATGACACTGTGTTGATAGTTATTCAAAGTTTCGGAACAAAATCACTTTTTTCATGCTGGAGTAGATATAAGTATTTTCCAATCACAATTACCATCAATGATACCCTAATAAATTTGTGAGAGTATAAATACCTGGGTTTTCTGATGACTTCTTGCAATAACGGCTTGGAGCAGGTTGAGAGCCTATACAGAAATTTTACAAACCGCACTGAAAATGTTAAATGTCTCCTACTTACCGGCTTTTGTGTATCTTACTACGGCTTGCCTCTGATTTTGAAGACGGGTATCTGATTTAAATAAACTCAAAGCCTACTGCAATGATAGCATCCGTAAATTGTTCAACGGAGAAAGGCGCTCTAGCATTGCAATTTTTGTGTGCAACATTGAATTCTCACCTTCGCAGAGATCAAACGCAAGGCGATTGTAGGCCTACTACTGCGACTGAAGCAATCAGACAATATTGTAAAGAAACTTGCTGGTGTATATAGCTTTATTAACCCCAATATCTTTAAAGTATGGAAGCGACTAGCATATTCTTCCTTATCCTTTTTAGATTTTTTCTGTATTTTATATCACGTTCTATGCCATGCTTTACTATAGTTTTATACCACGTTTGTAAGAGATATTCTATACTATGTTTTTTTTTACCATGTAATGTATGTGTGCATTTTATATGAAATAAAGTTTATTATCATTATTATTGTTATTATTATTATCATTATTATTATTATTATTATTATTATTTACGTGAGATATAAAAATGTATTACAGCCATATTATCACCCAGTCATAATTGTGATACTCGTGTCATTACTAAATCATTATTACCAAACAAATTACAAACCATATACATACACAGGGAATGCCAGTACTAAACAGTGCCACAGACTCCCGAAGTCGACGCCAACTAGATACGGAAAATACAAATTTAAATAAAAACACATCGTGCTGGTGGCCCCTCAAGTTTCTGTTCTTATCTTCATCACAACTAATTTGTTTTCTCATTATAACACCCGTGTTAATACCTTACGACAATATAAACTGTTGGCAAAACCAAACTGTTAAGCCCCTTTCAGACGTATCATCATGGACACACACTTTCAGACGTATCATCATGGACACACAGGACCACCTGCTCTACCTACATTACTTATATTTAAAAAGAAAAAAAACAACGTTCACACGGCAGAAAGTGGGTCCATAATATCAATGTTGCCAGACCAGTGGTTGGAGCTTTTGTCACACTGTATGAGGAACTCAGAAGGGATACAAAAAAGTTTTTCAACTACTTCAGAATGAGCAAAGAATCATTCGATGAGCTCCTCCTCAACAGGTTGAGTCCTCTACTTTGCCATCAAAATTCCAGGATGAGAGACAGAAACACATGTAGACACATCTTTTTCTTTCTTATCAGTCGCAGAGGAAATGTAATATCAAAACAGGAGGCAGACACTTGGCGCATCGTATGGTTAAAATCGCGAACATTTTTTTTTTTTTTTTTACTCTCTGTCTGTCTGCCTGTCTGTCTGTCTCTCTCTCTCTCTCTCTCTCTCTCTCTCTCTCTCTCTCTATCTATCTATCTATCTCTATCTCTCTCTCTCTCTCTCTATCTATTTGTCTATCTATCTATCTATCTTTCTCTCTGTCTCTCTGTCACTCTCTCTCTCTCATGCCCACGCCCTCCAACTGCTCCAACGTCTACATCAACGTCTTCCATTATCAATGGTGAGCAATATTATAAACACGTCTGTGGTCAGGAAACGACTGAGGTGGTGTGACACGCTACTCGCGCCGTCCACTTCAGACGGCGGAACGTCGACACGTTTGAACAAGCCCATAGAGACCTGTGTACATTTCACGCCGTCGACGGCGCAACGCCGTGCCGTTTTCAAATGGGCGCCGTTGTGACAACGGCGGCCGTCCACGGCGCCAAGTCGTTCACGGCGTCGGCCGTTACGTGTGAAGGCGTCCATAGACATCCATGGTTATTTGAGAGAACGACGTCGTGCCATGGACGGCGGACGGCGTAAAGTCGATACGTCTGAAAGGGGCCTTACTGTTGACAGTTACTACCAACTTCAAACTAAAAGAAAATTCCCATGAAACGTCTGTCGCTCACCCGGAGTCATGTCACGAAGCCGTTTCACGAGTCCCTCACAATTACAATCTGTAGTATTTGTTTGCACGAGTTTCTTGTTGTGGTGGTAAAAGGACGAACCCAAACGTTATATCCCTAATCACATTTGAAGCATGAAAAATCAGAGGAATGACACTCTCGAAAGTCAGGCGTAATTGTCACCTTGAACATATGAATTAATTTAGGATATATGTTTTTAAAACGCTTATATATCTTTAAACACGGAAATTAACCAAATTTTGAATATCATACTCCACTCGTTATCGTTTCTGCTTGCAATGTTTCGAAGTTTTTCCTTGTCTTTCATACTTGGCGGCATTCGACTTTTCGCGCCGACCAGATGGGTATGTAGTGGACTAGAGGTACCCCCACTAAGCTACGGGAGCCAGACTAGGAGAGTCCCCCTGACAGCAGCTGTGCACTAGTTAGCACCATCTGTGGGCGTACTTGGCACCATCTGAACTGCGCTTCATCCCTGGTGTATTTTTCTTTGTTTTACTGTGCTTTTATCGCTAACTTTTTTTTAACTTTCTCTTATGGCCTCAAGTTTTATTGCTATTTTTTGATGGTTGAATAAGTTTCACTTTTATTTTCATTTATTTTACTCAAAACAAGAAAAAAAAACATTGTTGCGACAAGAGGAGAGGAAATATAACTATACTCTTGCCGCCAAACTCGAGTTGTTTGCTCGTCCGACCAGCGCCTCGTCGGACGCCTTCTTGGTGTTTATTGGTGATATACGGGAGAGATACAAGTATAT